TAAAGAAAGAGTTGTCTTGGCCATTCAAAGTCCCTTTTGAAAATACTTCGTAAGTTTAGCTGACTTATCTTTGTGGCATTTGTACTTGGATATTTAAATCTTGCTTCAAAGGTGATCAAAACGATAATGCGAGGTGAAATCAGGAACAACTGAGAAGTTTAAACATACTGCAATCTCTACTGGATTTGAAAAGTCAAAGTCTTGGAAAAAGCAGATATGAGTGTTAGAACAATTGGAATCCTCCAGGACCTCAGGTAAGACACAACACAAGGCGGTGGCTAAAAGTAGTCTAGACAGACTGCCTGGGTTCAAATCCTACTTTTACCATTTAGTAGCTAGTTGAATTTGAACAAGTTATCTTCCTTAGACTTCAGTTTCCTCATCTGTAAAATGGGGATGATAGCAATACCTATCTCATAAAGTTTCTATGAGGAAAGACTACCTAAGTGTCAAGTGTATGTCTTGTGTACAGTAAGTGTTCAATAATAGAAAGCTATTACTGTTATTATTATTGAAATGTGGAAGACCTTATCAGTACCTTCACAATCAATCTCCAAGTCTCCTTCCTGAACCAAATGAAAAATATCTCAGATAGTGATCTTTATTTTATTTTTGGAAGGAAAAATATCAATGTCTGAAATTATCCATCAATATCAAAATGTCTGAAATTATCCAAAGTATCCTAAAGTAAATCCGTGGTAGCAGTCAACACTATATTCTTCTTCTTTATTCTTTTCACAACCCAGAGATCAAGAGTCATATGCTTCACTGACGGAGCCGGCCAGGTGCCCCAACACTATTTTCTTATTTGAGACCATTTCTAAGGTCTGTGATACTCCAGGTCTGTGGAACAGAAAATATTGCCCTTTGTTGGTATTGTATATAAGGATTTCCTCTTATAGGGCTAGAATAGATTTCTTGCCACTTAAGAAAACATAGCTGATGAGAAATCAGACTGACAGATGAATGAGAGAAATGGGAGAACTTTGTGGAGTTTAAGGAAATGAGATTAATAGGGATGTGAGTTCCAGTTTTTGCTTTACTCTTGGGTATAATCTTGGGTAATTTACTTAACCTAACTAACATTTGTTTCTTTCATCTTTGGAAATGAAAATGATAGTAATGCTTACCCCACAAGGCCACAATGTGCCTTGAAGCAAAATGATCGAGAGCAATATTTATAGATTATAAAGGCACACATACCTAGTCGTAAGTGATAATTATTCTAGCGCATGCATTTCTCCCCTACCTATCTGACCCATGGCCAGAACTTGCATGAGAGAAGAAGGAATACAGGCTATGATTGCCATATGTTCATAGATTCACTTAATGTCTCCAGATTGGACTGTGTCTTGCATCCAATCATCCATCCACCCAACCATCCATCCATCCATTCACCCCTTCACTATGCATTTATTGAGCAGTAACCATATGCTGTCACTATGCTATGCATAAAGCTTTCAAAGATCAGTGCCATGGTTTCTCAGAGACTTCTGAGTATGTGCAGGTAGAAGAACTCAACTCAGCTTTGTAGGGTTCTCAATGTCTCCTTAAACCTGAGGAGTGAACAGGTAGAAAAATGAAAAAAAAAAAAGTAAGAATTATTCAGGTGACATATTGTTTTGGACATTTTCCAAGCAGGCTAATTATCTAAAATCAGGCTGACATTTATATCTCTAGCTTCCCATGCTTGTTAAAGGCTTTTCTTGCTGAAATACTCATTGAGCTAAATTTCATCTAACATCTGGCCGTTGTATAAATATAGCAATGAAAACATGTCTTGTTGCCTACACAGTAGGTATAAATTTTAGAAATCCAATTAGTGTTTTATTCTTTCTGTGTATTTTTTCTTTTCTTTTTCTTTAGTGTTTGAGCTGATTTCAGGCTCCTTACTGAAACTATAAGATTTCAAATATTTAGCACACATCTGCACAACAGAAAAAACCAACTGGATTGAGGTATAGTGCTTTGTAGTATTTCCTAGTGATTGGAAGATATTCCTTATGTTCTTTATTCATTCGTGCAACTGGCATATATTGAGTGAAATGTCGAGCCTGGTGCTCAATGCTGAGGGTGAGGGATACAGAATAAATAAAATAGCATCTTAGCCCTTAAGAAGTTTAGTACCTAGTAGGGGAAACAGATACCTATACCAACTATTTTACTACAACGTGAAACACTGCTATTGCTATGTTGACGAATATTGACAAATGCTGTAGGAGAGGTACATCTCCACTGGCTCCTAAGGCACCATTCACTAGCCATCTAATGGGTTGCACACTACATCAATGATTGTCCTCAATCCTTCCCTGAGGGCCTCGAACCTCTCAAAATTGAGGAGCCCCTCAAATGAAGAACCCAAGGGAGTGTCTCAGGACTCACTGTGCTCACATTATCCATCTGGATGGGCAGAATCTGCCAAATGGCCTAAGAAAGGATCATCTGTACGGCAATACCAGCCTCCCCTGAGTCATAGTTGTTAAAGTCTTCACTTCTAGACTCACTGTAATGACAGCTGATAGTCAATGGCCTATTTTGCCTAGACGTGAACATTTAGAAGCAAGCCCACTAATGCACAATTTTTACTGTGTACACCAGGGCCTACCACAATGCATCCTCTACATCCTTTAAAAAATGCATATTATTATACAGATTTCACCACTCCTTCATTTGGTGTTGGTTACACTCAAATATCTAAACCTCTGGGCCATTCTAAAGGATGCTCTTAAGATCTAACTTGGAAAAACTATGAATGAATTTTCAAACATTATCAAATGCAACGCTTGCCTTTTAAACATTAAAAGTTTATTTGCACAAACTTAGTAGTATAAGATACAACATAATTCATGGAAATCAACCACAATGCTAATACTTAATAGATTATTCCAAACATTAGACATTACAGTTTAAATCTCACCATTAGCTCTGATGTTGGAATAACATTTCAGTTAATAAATAATTGTGAATATGACCATATGTTCAGTTTATTCTCACCAGTTTATCATGAATTACAATTGTGATTTGGGTCATAAAAGTGATAAACAATTATGGCTTCATAAATTGCATGTTTATTTAATTAATCCTGAAGAGAATCTAAAAATATATTCCAAGAAGTTATATCAATTAGGTGTATTTTTTAGCTTTCAGATTTTGACATGCATGGGTAACACTATAACTACTTTCATAGGTATGGTCATTTGCAAAAGCGAGTGGCCACAGTTTTGCAGCCCTGGATTATATGCCTTCTATGTATTTCAGGGAACTATGAATTTCAAAAGTTACTGCTATTTTGTGGTGATCTACAAAGTAGTATAATACCGATGCAAGCACACAAAATTCGTGGTCAAGGAACCTTGTGAGTTTTGTTCATTATACTTTCCAGATAGCAGTCACACCTTCCTAATAATTTTGATGCCATAAACCTATTAGGAAAGACAGAATTACTTTATAAGATATTCCTAATTTGCAGAATCCATAGTGCTTATAATGGGAAGTTATATTTGCCTTATATTGTCTGACAAGGGTGTCTCCTGAACTCCTACTGCTATCACCAGTTGTCACAAAGGCAATGGCTCTGTCAAATGATCACAACACATGGGAATAGTGTCAACATCCTGCAACCAAGGACCTCGCCAGAATCACTTTTAGTATTCGAATTTTTTACTCTATTTTGGAATTTTCCTGCTCATTACTGAATTTATTTATTTAATTTTGTTTTAATGTTTATTTGTTTTTGAGAGAATGAGAGAGAGAGAGAGAGAGAGAGCATGAGCAGGGAAGGGCAGAGATAGAGGCAGACACAGAATCTGAAGCAGGCTCCAGGCTCTGAGCTGTCAGCACAGAGCCCAACGTGGGGCTTGAACTCACTAACCATGAGATCACGACCTGAGCTGAAGTCAGATGCTTACCCACTGAGCCACCCAGGCACCCCTGGTCATTATTGAATTTAAACCAGTAAGTAAGTTGCCTGATTTGTTGGGCTAAGAAAAATATTCTGTGCTATTTGGAATCAGGCTTTGAATAATTAATCAGGTAGCTTAATGCCATCATATATGTTGTTCAAAGATTTCTAATCTCTTTGTAAAATTTTCTAGCGTGAGGAGCCACTTTAGCTAGTACTTATCAATGGCATGAAGCAATGAGTCAGAAAGTGTAAGAATTTATGAAAAGCATCAAATAGTAGAAACAAAGTGTAGGAATCTTACATTTTGGCAATGAGTTAGGTCCCAGAAAATACTTCCCTCCAGTGTAAAAGTTTAGGACTCTTTGAAGACAATGTCAAGTTCAACAGTGACAGAATATATTCAAATTCTGGGCCCCAAATATTTCAGAAAGCTCCCCCCTCACTTAAAAATGACTCTTTATCCTTTGTACTTCTTATGACAAACTATATACCTTTTCGGTGTAGGGACCATCTTACAATTTGGGACGCATGTTATATTTTTCCATAGGGAAGAGACGGTTGGCATTGCTTCCTGGCTTGGTATAATTCATTTATGTTCTTCCAGTTTTTTCTCTCTGATCTCTTTTCTGTATATCTGTCAGCAGCACTCTCCTGGGAGCAGCACGATGCACTTCATTAATAAGAAGGGATTAAAGGAAAAAGCCCTCGTCTCCTAATACACTTGGATAATTTGGTGCCATCCACAAGGCAATAGACCCCTGCTGCATAGATGTCATTAGAAAGGTACAATTTCATTACTTTTTACTGGCAGAGCCTTGAGTGAAATACAAAATATGTTGTCTCATATGCAGGGGGAAAAAAAGTGCTAAAGCTTTCATTCACTTCACGCCTCTAAAATAGTAGAATGCAAAAATATATTTTATGGTTTTTACATTTATACTGCCTTCCCTTAGTAGTCCTTGAAATCAAGCTTTTATTAAATACCGAGCAAAATCCAGATTAAAAGAAAATTATTTACATTCTTCAATCCGAAGTAAAATTCATATATTTTTATTGAGTAACACATACCTACTAAGTGCCAGGCACTCTATGAAAACAAACTACAAAAACATCATTCATGCCTTTTTTTTAAATTACAGCACTAACTTATTAAATACTCTAACTGGAAGTGAGTATAAAAGTGAGCGCATAAGAAGTAAACCATATGGCTGAATAAAAATGATTGTAAGCCAGTAAATTGTAAGCGTATTAAAAAAAATTTGTTTAACTTTCCCTTGTTAACCTCGCTTATTTTTGAGCTGACATGTTTACTGCTGGCTGACAGAATTATCTTTTGGGCTACACACCACTGCCCCCCTCCCCACCTTGATTTGAAGCCTTAAGTGGTATATTGTGCAAACATTTGAAAAGAAAAAGTACAAACCACCCTTAGAATCTCACTCCACTTCCTATAGAAGCAGCTCCAAACAGGAAAGGTTGGGCCTCACTGGTGGAGGGTGTGGTTGGCCATCCATCTGAGAAAGGGGCTTGGGATTTAGGAATCTGCCATAAAAAAACCCACCAATGGTACTCCTAGGCACTGCACTGGTGTGATGACTCCTTGGGAACCTTGAGCTTCACTTTCCTAGCACCGAAGAGAATCAGGCTTAACAGTGGTCCATTATCTGACTGCCACAGACACACAACTGCCAGTAACACTAAAAAGTGGCACACAGTTAGAACAGACACGATGCGTGGGAGAAGAAAGCCCTTGATTATCAGCTTATTTGAAGCCATTCTTTGCAGTGATGGATTTTTCCTCCACTACTACTAGCTTCTGTTTAGTAAAATTGACATTTGCAGCTCCTTGTCTAAGATAAAGTCTAGCCTAGATGGTTAAGATCATAGAGACTGGGGTTTCCAGAGACCTTTCTACCAACTTAAGGCACAGCAGTACAGGAAGAGCCAAGCATTTTGACAAACGAGTCAGTAATGAAAATACTTTAAAAATGTGTTTCATTATGGCACACAATATCTCTACAAATAAACCATTGCTCATCTAGTCAGCTTTGAATCTAGACTGTTCTGATGTCCTCTCGCTCTAGTCTGCAACCATGGCCTTCCTTGTCTTCCATGCATCTTAATTCATTAAAATATCATCCCAGGCATGGTGAAGATTATTAACAAATCTCGTGAGAAGTGAGAGAGTGCAGAAATGGGGGCCGGGAGGGCCAGCTTATATCTTTCAGAGTGAGCAGAGCTTAATAACAAAAAGTCAGGATTCAGCTAGTTATGTTGTTGTTATCAAAAAGAAATCTCAGCTAATGTTTAAATATAGATAACCAAAGTCACAAACAAAACCCCCAGTTTTGCCAATAAATTAGAAAAAAATAAGCAAAATGGTTAAGTGGTTAAAAGCGTAGATTGTTAACCTTATGTGGTGTATTTGAGGATGTGCACTGAAAACAGATCAATTATTTAATTCCAGAATATAGATTTCCTCTTTCCTTATGACTTTTTTGTAATGGTAATTTTTCCTCCACTCCCATAAGGTCTTATGATTATGTTTGTCTTGAATCTCAATAGGTATTTCTTATGATTTGGATGTTTTATCAGATAGAACTAACAAATGTCCAGGGTTTCTGAAGATTCTGCAAATTTCTGAGCTTTCCACATTACTCTGGGCACTGAGGAAGAGGAAGAAATATTATGAATTGGAGCTCAGGTTGACAGGTGGGTATTTGAAATATAAATGGAAACAAGTCATTAGCAATGACCCTTGTTAATATTCTTTTGCCGAGGTAGTTTATAAGAAGGGATTGCCCATAAAAGAGCTTGTTATATTTCCTCCGTTGAATATGCACGATTCTGTGACACATTGTCTTGACTTAGTGGAATAAATACTCAAACAAGGATCGACAATACCAGTTTCATGGTAGAGAAGGAATAAGCTGGTAGGTATGTCTATAAGTTCTGTCAGGCAAGACTTAACCAAATCTTCATACACATTTTAAATTGATAATTAGTGAATGGCAACAAGATAAACTAGATACCTCTTTGCTTCGGGGACACTTTAAAGGCCTCTTTTTTAGATTTGGAATTCACAATAAGTTTCTTCCATTCCTCGTTGGTAGAATAGTGAAATATTTCTTGTCTGAGCTGAATAATGAGATAGGAAACGATAACCCTGCGCATGCCTAATTTATAACAAATCTGTTTCCTTAATCGGTGGAAGGAAATCCGAGGACAGTTCTAAGGGTGCTTGTCTGCTTTCAGTGCTGTCTTCTAGTCATACGGAAGACAACACCTCTCCCGACGGGTCTTTCCCCTTCTTCTCCTCTCCCCGGTCAATGTCAATCACGTGCACCACTCCAGATTTTAGGATCAAGTCATCCGTCTCTACCTGACTCCTGTTGTCTTCCACTTCCATGTAACTCCCCTTTGTTTGCTGGGCAGCTTTGCTGAAGGCTTCTTTAAAACGACGTTTGAATTCAACATCTGGACAGAAGACATACTCATAAAGGCCACCAGCGAGGACAGCTCCTATTATTGGTCCAACCCAATATATCTGGGGAAAAAGACGGAAGCATTATAGAGTGAAAGTGGAGTACAACTATTCCTTTGAACAACTTGTGAATGGAGAGCTTAGCTGGTTTACATTAAGAAAGCAAATGTGTTGTGCAGAAGAAAGCAGAATTGGAAAGAATACAAGAAAACACACCAAATGCACACCAGAGATCCATAAACTGCTAAATAACTTTTGAACAGAAAACAAGGAAAGACTGTTTCCTCTTTTTTTTTGCTTTCACTACGTTCTTTCCATTTTCTGTGAATCCTTAAAGTCAGGATAGCAACTCTTTAGGGAAGTGTAGGGGGCTCAGTCAGTTAAGCATTTGACTCTTGGTGTTGGCTCAGGCGTTGGGCTCTGTGCTGACAACATGGAGCCTGCTTGGGATTCTCCCTCTCCATCTCTCTGCCCCTCCTCCTCGTGCATGTGCACGTGTGCACACGCTGTCTTTGAAAGAAGTAAACATTAAAGAAATTATTAAAAAAAAAGACATCTCCTTTTTGGTGGTACTGTATGCTAAGTAGACACAAAGAATTCTTCAACTAAAATAGAAAAAAAGAATTTCTGGAGAGTGGTTATCTTATTATCTTAATATTGCCTTCTTACATTAGCTTTCTGCATAATCGTGACCAATATACAGATTTTATCATTTGAGCTTTAGTTATTCAGTGGAGTATGATAAATGGAATCCCAGCTCCAGAACTCAGCAATTTGGTGAGTTCTTGAGTCACTTACTTAACTTTTTAAACCTTAACTTGTCATCCACAAAGTGGGGATTATAATAGTACATACCTCGTGGATTGTAAGAGTTAAATTGAAATAATACTCATAAAGTATAAAATCTAATTTTATAGCAACTGGCTCCATTCCATGCTTTCTAGACAATTCAAAATTGTATGTGAACAGGCTGGCAATAAGTCATTTTCTGTTTGTTACATCCTTTCCTTTCTTTTTAAAAAATTTTCTTAAAAATGTTTATTTATTTTTGAGAGACAGATAGAGCACAAGTGGGGGAGGGGCAGAGAGAGAGGGAGACACAGAATCTGAAGCAGGCTTTAGGGTCTGAGTTGTCAGCATAGAGCCCAACATGGGGCTCGAACTCACAAGCTGTGAGGTCATGACCTGAGCTGAAGTTGGAGGTTTAACCAACTGAGCCACCCAGGGCCCCATGTTTGTTACATGCTTTTTCTCTCTAAAATCTGGTGATTTGATTGAACTGAAGCCCTCATGGTTTGTTCATTACTCTTCTTGCAGAGTACTTTCATCGCCTGGTTCTTACCATGGCTGCTTGGTGCAAAAAACTCCACGTTGTCTGTTTGGGGCGCCTGGGTGCCTCAGGTGGTTAAGTGTCTGACTCTTGATTTTAGCTCAGGTCATGATCTCATGGTTTGTGGGATTGAGCCCTGGGTTGGGTTCCATGCTGAGTGCAGTGAACCTACTTGGGATTCTCGCTTTCCCTTTCTCTTTCTGCCCCTCCCCTGTGCATGATCTCTCTTTCTCTCAAAAACAAACAAACAAACAAACTTTTAAAAAGCCAGTACTTGGGGTGCCTGGGTGGCTTAGTTGGTTAAGCGTCCGACTTTCGCTTGGGTCATGATCTCGCGGTTCGTGGGTTCGAGCCCCGTGTCGGGCTCTGTGCTGACTGCCAGCTCAGAGCCTGGAGCCTGTTTCAGTCTGTGACTCCCTCTCTCTCTCTGACCCTCCCCTGCTCATGCTGTCTCTATCTCTCTCCTAGAAATAAATAAAACATTAAAAAAAAATTTTTTTTTTTTTAAAAAGCCAGTACTGAGTTTATGGATAACAGTTAGCTGAGGCTTAGCAATTCCATGGGATTTTCAATCCAACAAATGGAAGCTTTTTATCATATCAAAAACATATCGTTACTGCATCTAGAATAGACTCAGTTTTGAGTTTCGGTAAACTTCAACATTAGCTTTAGAGCACGTGCAAAATATTAGACATTCATTCAACAGATTCAATTGGGCAACAGAAACTTTGTTTATTGAGCCAGCTATACTTAGCACTTTTCTTGTATTAACTCACATAATTCAAACAGCAACCTTTGAGGTAGATATTACTATTATCCCTCTTTTATGAGTAAGAAAACTGACCCCCTGAGAGGGTAAGAAGCTTGCTTCAGAGTTCATACTTAACAGGTGCTTGCTCTGGGATTTCAGGTCTTTGTGATTTCAAATCTCCCTTTTGAATTATTGCACTGTTTTCCATGATACTGTACTTTTCTCATGTGAAAAAAATAGGAGAGATGCTTTTCTGGCTTAAGACACATTCTGGAAGTTAATTTCACTTAGCATCCTCATTGCAAAATCTAAAAACAATTCAAAATTTAAGCTGGAGATGAGCACATTACTTAACAGGGAAAATACCAGTAGAGTGGGTGTGAGTACCAAACTCCTTATCTTGAACAGAAAGAAACCATGTAACAGTTGACCTTCTCATGCTCTTTCAAAGGAGAAACAAGAGCCCTCCTCTAAATGTCTTTGATCTTTGTTCCTTTGGTAAAAACTCATTACATATGTTCTATTCCACATGCTATGACTCCCACCAGGGAAACAAGGGTCTGCTAAAGAATTATGATGCATTCCCAAAACACCTATGAAGAAGACATCTGGCTACATGCTCCCCAAAAAGAGCAAATCTCAGGTTCAAGTTGCTATTCCAAAAACAAAGTCATAATATACTTTAAAATGACTCTCAAAATTTATAAAAGTAAATAATTTTTATTGCTACAAATATAGATAAAATGGAAAGTATCAAGATGAAAACAAAACAATGTCATTACTCTACCTAGAAAATTCACCATTAATATTTTGATGTTATTCTATCTATTTTGTTGTCTATCTATCTATCAATAAATCAATCTCCTATCTGCAAATATGCTGTAAATTAGTTCTAAAATTCACACAACTATTGCTACAGAATGAACATTCATGTTCAGTAGGATTGTTTGTTATAAAATAGCTCTGCAATAAGGGGAAACCTCTAATTCAGTCAACAAGGTAAAATGTTTTGTGCTATTTGAATTTTAGCGAGTTTACCACAACCAGAAGGTAATTAATAAAAACATATATTTTCACCCACATTTTAAAGTCCTCATAAATAAAATTAAATTGTCATTTTTCTAAATTTTAATTACAAAAAAAGTTTGAATGTAATAAGTTGAACTTACAGTTGTACTTTTATCATAATTAACTATATACTGCCCATTAAAATGTTTGATTCCTGTTAATGTGGTAAATATTTTGAGACATAAATGGAAAACATCAGTGGCAAAATGACCAATCGCATGATGGTATTATTGATGTTCTTTGTATAGCTGGGTGCAAAATCTTGCTTTTGAACACGACTCTTGTTCTTTAACAACTGAAATTATTTTAAAGACTCAGTACACTTTTCTTAGCTGTGAATGCTTCTAGTAATGGGGCCATTCCCTCTCATTTGCAACGTACACTATGGTTGAGTAGTTGTAACTGGATCAATAACCACTGTGTGAATGAGATTCAAACACAAATGGCACATTGTCTCGGTCATGAAATAAAAAGTAAAGTTGTAAAATAGCACTCAGGACATACAAGTGACAATAGAAGTTAGCCTTATTTAAGGCTGGCATACATAAGTCCCATATCTCATGTCTGTATTGGTTATTATAAGTTAGCATGTCAGTGGCCTTAAAACTGCTGCGTTTCATTGGAGGGATTTAAATTCCCATGTTGTAAGAAACAGTTGAAATAAAATTGATCGCGATATTTAAAGATGGATATCACTGCTTTCTGGACTTCTGCCACCACTTTAGTAAGTAGGTTAGCCAGTGAGACTGCAAAGTGTGCCTCTTCTGAAGTCATTTGTGTGTCCAGCTATGGTTATGGTGGTAATAGCATAAACATTTGCAGCATCTAGTCTTCTCCATCTACAGTTCAAATGTTTCCAACTCACATACTATTAACTGGGGTTCATGCTTTTGTAAACAAAAATAGTCAATATTTTTGCTCTGGGCATTGCTTTTAAGCATTTCTTTCTTTCTTTTTTAAAATTTCTTGGTAAGTACATATTTTGTCATTGCCAGGAAGGCTTTACATTCAATTACTTAAACACCATATTCACCATACCATCCTGATTTTCACTGGTTCCACATTGGCAATCTCCATGTGCAATATATTCTGCTTCAGTCTATCAGATACAGTGTCCAGAGCAATGCTTACATATATATGCATTATATATATATAAGGCTATTTCTGAAGGCCCAGAACAGATATAAGGTGAGATATCTAACTGTAGATCTGTACTAGTTTCTCCCTGGTCTTTATGAAAGATGTAATAAAGTGGGGAGGGGGCAAGGTTGAGAGGAAGTAAGAAAATTAGTGGGCAAAGGAAAAAAAAAAAAAGAGTTCCATGAGCAATTGTTCTCAGTTGTAGGAGGACAGGTACTATCAACATGATGGTTACCCAGTGGTTTTCCCAATTTCCCATGATAACTGCAGGTCCAAAGGATCGGGCAGGGTTCATGCTGGCACCAGTGTAATTGATCTATAGGGAAAAAGAAAACAACTTCAGACATTGCTGAAACAGGGCTAGTAACAGGAAGCATTCATTGCAGTTTGCTACCATTTGCCAAGTCGGTTAGAAGAACTGTCAAGATGTTAGCAGCCATATCCACATTCTCATCATAAAGTTAGTGAAATAATCACCTAACACGGACAGACGTGGCTGGATACTAAAGAACTACAGCTGTAAAACACAACATCTTTAGGCCAGCTCTAGGGTGATGATAAATGAAAATGAATCAATTATCTAAATGGACTTGGAAACTTACTGCAAATAAATGTCCAATTGCAACAGAAAATCCAATTGCTAAAGCTACCGAACCAGTGACATCAGTACGTTTGGAATCACAGCTGGCAAAAATAGTAAACACCAACTGAAATGTGATTATCAACTCCACCAGAAGACCATGACCAGCAGTAAGATTTCCATGAACCTGGAAAGAGAAAAATGCTCCATTTGAATGGAAGCATGATTGTATTTCCTATGATAGCATATTATTGTGAAAGGCATGTTTCATCATCAGAAAAAGCAATGGTTAATTTGAGTCATCTATTCCACCCCACAAGTGAGACACTCCCCCGGCATCCAAAAAGAAAGGAATAAATGTCCACTCATTTTGGGCCATCGCAGATAATTAATTACTCGTACAATGACCAAGCGGGAATTTGTGCTGAATGTCCTTTTCTACAGAGGAAGCAAAATGTGCCGCTGCTGCATTTAACTTATAAAGGAGTTTCTTAAGAGTCTTGTAATTTCATAAGGCAATGATTAAATCCATTAATTAGGTTTAAATTAATTCATATATATTTCAATTAAAATTTAAACTGTATGCGGTTTTTAAATCAATCTGGTGCTGAGCTAACAACTGATATTCCTAATCAGTTAAGAACAAAACTGGGATCAAACGCCCATTTATTTTTTTAAGTGTGGCCCTTGATGTCGATCATTTGAGTCTCATGAACATGACAAGAAACAAAACTTAGTCAGCCAACAAAGAGTCGTAATAAAAATTCCTTAAGCTAAGTATATAGTCTAGTCACTGGGATGGGAGCGAGAGAGAGGAAAACACCAACACAAGTTTTGTGTCACCTAGGCTTAATAATATTGAAGTCAGTCAATAGCAAACAATGATTATATGTGGAGACATTCCAGGTTGCTGGCATCAGTTTTCTCCACTAGCAAGAATCATCAGAAATTCCCTGGGAATAAATGAACAATTTTAGAAGAGTGTCTCAGGCCACCAGGGTGGCATTTAGCAGAATCTGCGAGAAGCCTGGAGTCCGAGTTTGAAAATAAGAGCTAAAGACGCTACCGTAGTGACCCCCAAGCCCCCCACCACACTGGGAGGCGTGACGAGGTAGAGAATCCCGGCTCCAACGATGGCGCCCAGGCACTGCGCCGCGACGTAGAAGACAGACTTGGCGATGCTGATCTTCCTGGTGCACACCATGGCCACGGTGACGGCAGGGTTGATGTGGCCACCGCTGATGTGGCCAAAACACTGTACCATAGTTGCAATGCTGAGCCCAAAGCAAAGCGAGATGAGAACCATGTCGACCGGTAAGGGCTTTTCCGTTCCACCCCAGTTGATGGTGGATCCCAGGCTGAGGAGAACGAAGATAAGCATGGCCAGAAATTCCGCTGTGACTGCCTTCCAGAAAGCTTGAGTCCAGACCCCTTTGAAGGCCACCATGATGCTCTCTCTTCTACACAAAGGTCCACACTTACTGGAAAAAAAAAAATTGATATCAGAAGCCGTCAAACCAGGGTTCCTGAATTTGGGCTAAGACTCCCGGCCTGAAGTCTTGCCCTATTGCGGGGAAGGGCCCCCTCAAAGGTTATTTGATACCAAGAAAGAATGCTTCCAGAAAACCTTCTTAATTAATGAATTAATTGTCCTCCTTTTATTTAATATTCGAAGATCATGCAGTTTCACTGATTTGTCTCTAGACAGGAACATGTCTAAATCAAGTTTCTTAAAGAATTACGAAGGAAATACAGTTACTTCCGAGCAAGAGCTAATTCCCTCAGAGCAAGGTTTTAAGTTTCAGTGTGGTTTTAAGGTGCCCTTTATATTTTGAACGTAAAGCAGTGGGAAAAAAAAAAAAAAAAAAAAAAAAAAAAAAAAAAAAAAAAAAAAAAAAAAAGGAGGTCATATGCAGTTTTGCACTTTATTGCTCAAAATGGCATCCTGAAAATGGATTTGTGGAGTGTGATTCTCCTCTCCCCCAGCAGAGACTGCGGATTTAGAGGAGAGGCCAGCGAGGAGGCCGGGAATGCCTGTCTTTCCAGAAGGTAAAGTCCTCAGGGGCTGGGAGCGCACGGTGGCTGGCAGCGGCGGTGGGAACCCGCGGAGCCCGAGCCGGGGCTAGGACACTCGCTCAGTCCCCCCTGCGGACCCGGCCGCGCGGCGCTGGGACGCGCGGGCCTCGCGCCCGGGGGCAGCGGCCCCTCCAGGGCGGGTGCCAGGCCCGGGGCAGCGGCCCCGCGGACCAGCGCAGCCTCGCGGCGCGCGCCCGGCTCTCGGCCCCGGCGTCCCCGCGGCCGCCCCTGGGAAGGCTGCTTCCCGGCTCCGCGGTGCTTCTGCAGTGCGAGGGGACAGTCGCTTGCTGTGCCTGACCCTCTCGCGACCTCTGACATTACCCTTCAGACACACCTTCCCAAAGGGATCCCCGGGGGCGGGGGTGGGCGCCCAGGGCACCCCGCCCGCCCCCTCCAGGGGGCAGCCGAGTGCGGGAACCCGGAGCCGGGCGGGGCGGTGGGGGCACCGGGCAGGGCCCGGGGCGGGGGGCACAGTGATCCTCAGAGCAGAAGCCTCCACGGACAGAGGCTGTTCTCCAGTGCCTTCCTGGCGGCCTTCTACTTCTGCGTGGCCCTGAACGTTCCGCGGGCTTGTCTCTTCTGGGGGATCTTGTGTCTGCTGGGGCGAGAGGGGAGGGGGGCGGGGAGGAGGGGGGGGTGCAGCAAGACAGCCACCGAGAGGGAATGCTTTCTTCCTCCAGTCTGTTCTCATATTGTCTGAAGATCTTTGGAGCTGAGAAAGGATTTGAGGAGATTAATGCCAAGTGCTCATTTGGGCAAGAAATGGAGAGAATTCCAGATGTGGGGGGCAATTACACTAGTCACCCCATTATTCAAGACCTTTGCTCTTATCCTTTGCCTGGTATAGCCGTGAGAGTGAAGGAGTGTGGAGAACATTAGCAGAGACTCTGATCACCAGAGGACTATGAAAAGGGTTAGTCAAGAAAGTCCAGCATTTGAACAGATTAGAGTTATTAGCGCTTTCCCCTTGCGTGAAGGCGGGGAGCTGCCTTCCTGGCCCCCCTTACTGTCCCCAGGAGCCTGGGCTCTGGATGAGCAGTGGGGAAATGCTGTGCCAAAAAGGGCTGGGGGAACTCTCCCTTGACCTTTAGGATCTCAAGTCAGCCTCTGCTCTGATATGGAGCTTTGCCTCAGAGTTGGAAAGAGAAATGCATTTTCTGCCCAAGCGGGGGTGGCTCCAGAAAGGGGACAGCCAGCCCTGTCCCAAGTGTCCCCTGCCTGTGAGCGCCTCTAAGTGAATCATGTAATTACAAGAAAGCCCAGCTGGGAGGACAATGACATCATATTCCCTGGAGGAAGGGAAGATAAAGAGACGAAACAGCACTTGGAACAGGGCAGGGAGCATGCTCTGGGAGAGATTAAAAATATCCCAAGGGGGGAGAACTCCAAAAACTCACAGATTAAAAAAGAAGTTAGGAAGGTGGCTTCTGAACTGCCCAGCGGCCCACAGCTGCGGCCGGAATGGCAGAGGGGCAAGGTGCTGCCCCACGTGCTGGTCGCCTGAGGCTGCATTGAGTGGGAAAAATTTAGAGAACAAAGTAGGGAGCTGCGGAGGCTGGTGCGCAGGAAGCCTCAGGTCCCTGTCCCTGTTCTGGCAGAAGGCCCCCTCCCTGCTACGCCCCTTCTCCTTCGCTTTCTCCAGTCCCCCCGAATTCTCTCTCCCAGCCCATTCTCTCCTGCCTCTCCAGAGATCTAATTTAAAAAACTTGGGTGCTCTTTTCAACTTGAAATTTTCATCAACCGGAGAAATTAAAACAACAACAGTAACAGCAACAACAATAACGAAACCCCAGATAGATAAATATGCTCCTTAGCAGTGCTTTTAGCTTTTTTTTTTTGGAAAGCCCACAAATTCTGATCTCCTTCCAGGGCAGACCGAGCAGCCTCGGTTAGCCATGAACCCCAAAGTTTCCAGGCAGCACGTACGTACCCCTAACTTCACGAGCCCTCACCTTGACGGAGTCTGTCATAGCTCCTGTTCATATCGGCAATGTGCCCTTATGTGTTCACACTCACTGGAAATGGATCAACACCATTTGTTTTGCTCCTTTTGCCCGGGAACAAAGGGGGTTTGTTGATGTGCCCGGGTTGTACTGACCTGGACACATTACTTTCTAGCTGAACACACAGCCTGATCGGCTTCTGGGCAGCCGAGCCTCTGGGTGAGTAGTTTTTCTGATGAAAAACACTGCAGATAGATTTTACCTCCATAAGGTAGTTTTCCTGTGCATGCACAGGTTTTGAATATATGGAGGCTTTTGCAGCAAAGCATCCTTTTTTTTTTTTTCTCTCTTCTATCTTCTCTATGCCTCTCTTATGAACATGCCCGGTACCCAGATCTGTAAGAATCGCCTACTTGCCCTATAATTCCCTTCTAGAGTCTGTCTGAGAAGGCACATATATCTATAATAAAAGAGTCAGAGTTTCATCTTTTGGCCCTGAGCTTTGTTCCCTTAAGGCAAAGAAGGACTTACCCCCACTGCCTTGCTTCGGGTCTGCCACTCATGCCTTCCCTGGCCAGAGTGCGGCTCTCATTGCCTGCCTCACAGCTCCCAGTGCACTGGGAGTCAGATTACGGCTACTTGTCTGATTGGGTTTTTGGAGTGAAGGGGTGGAAAGACTCTGTACCATGTGGCAATCGTCGAGTTATATTTGAACTTGAAATAACTGTTCTCTACCTGATCACTGTAGACACAGGGCATTTCAGGAACACAGAACGTTTGCTTACATTGTATTTCTTTAGCTGGTAATCTTTGAAAATGAGGATTTCCCCTTATTTTTATTTCAACTCTTCTCACCACAAAGGACTGCTGAGAATTGGTCTTGTTTGGTTGTGTGTTGTAGGTGAAATTGGGGAACTGTGAGAAGACAGATTTGTGTTATCCAGCAGTTGAGATGAACTGAGACCTGGGCTGTAGTAGTACATTAGTTGTTGAGGGGCTAACTATCCTTGGGGTTCTATTAGACATTTTTGACCTGAGAAGCAGCATTTTAAGCACAACAGATAAGTCCATGTGTAGCCTGGGCAGCTCTGATTTGGTTAATAAGGAAATGGGAAAAATAGGGAATAAGACTTCCAAGGTGCTCCATTGACTGTTATATTAATAAGAATTGTTGGGTAAGAAGTAGCAAATTTAAAAATATACAGGTTGACTGGGGACAAAAGTTTTGGAAATTGTAGGTAAGTTTGATATCAACAAACCTAGGGACCAGATTGACTATATCATTTGTGGGGCCCAGTGCAGAATGAATACATCACAATGAAAACTTTTTGTTTTCTTGTCTTGTTTGGGGACCTGAGATTTGGAAATGGGTGAAAAGCTATGAGAAAGAGGACTTAAAATTTTGAGTGTGAGTTTGAGAGGAGAGTTTTATTATTGTTTCAAGCCTTCTCAGATAACAGAGATTAAATTTATATCCATAAGAATGTGGTTGCCCACTGATGGCTGTCCATGTTGGGGGGGGGGTCAGTTTGGCCTTCTTATAATGTGCTCCCTGAAAGTAAGAATAAATTCTGATGAGAGGTGAAGGGAGTATTTATGTGAATCTGCAAAGAATGCTTAAGACATTCCATGTTGATTCTTTAAAACAATCTTTTTAATGTTTTATTTATTTCTGAGAGAGAGACAGCGTGAGCAGGGGAGGGTCAGAGAGAGAGGGAGACACAGAATCTGAAACAGGCTCCAGGCTCTGAGCTAGCTGTCAGCACAGAGCCCAACGTGGGGCTCGAACCCACGAAATGTGATATCGTGACCTGAGTTGAAGTCAGACGCTTAACCGACTGAGCTACCCAGGTGCCCCTCCATGTTGATTCTTAAAGCTGTTTACTACTCAGATTTTAGAGTACAATTTAAACAATGGGTCACAAATGTTTTTTAAAAACTTGAAAACTTTGACTTTCTAGACAGATGTGCTGATTGCTCTGACCCTAAGAACACTGAGTCAGAAGGGACTGTGAGGTCTATGAACTAAAGATGCTACGGTGTTTCGATTCTTCCTTGTGAAGAAAGCCTGTGGTCAGTCATATCCACAGAAACCCACAAAGCGTGGCACTCCCTTAAGACTGCTCATTGTTCAGGGGACATTTTTCAGGTCCCCTTTTTGCAGGTTGCCCTAGGCACATTAGCATTCACTCCTTGGCCTTGGCAGTTCCCGTCACCATTTTACAAAGTGCCAGCAAAAACTCGGTTACCACAGTTTCTCAGACTCTTTGCCTTTCTTCTGGCGGGCTGATCATTGCCCTGGTAGCATGTGTTGACAGTTCAGTTCCTAAGGGATGGCTATTCCCAACAAGGGAAGGGCCACCCTAATTGGCACCGACTTGTGCACTTATTAGTACTCTGAGCGGAGTGGCTGAAAATTGACCAGAGATTAACTCTTCACCTACTGGGAGTAGTTTTTCTTATTAGGTATTACATATTGTCTTTTTTATTTTTACATTTGAGGGGGCATTATTGATTCTCCTGCGACACTAATAATTAGCTGCTTGCTTGGCTTTTCTTTGGACTAGGGACAGAGTTTCCAATATGGTTGTCTGAGGCGACGCGTGTAGGATAATGACGGAAGAAAGCAGCTTCAGTGAGCTTGTGAGGATGGTGCAGACGATATGAGGCGAGGACCTTGGCGAATAGAAGTAAGAGCTTCTAAGCTGATCTGTTTTGAACCGGCCTGGGCCCCGGGCCAAATGAGATTTGGAATCTAAAACTTTTTTTCTATTGCTAACGTGAAAAGGTCTTAATTCATTTAAAAATGGAATAACAGTTTACTGATGAAATCTTTTTGATGTTCTTACTGTACAGGGCTATGATTTTGGGTTTAAAAATCCGTGGCCTTGGGGGTGCCTGGATGGCTCAGTCGGTTGAGTGTCTGACTCGATTTCCGTTCAGGTCATGATCCCAGGGTCGTGGCATCGAGCCCCATGTCGGGCTCTGCACTGAGCATGGAGCCTGCTTGGGATTCTCTTTCCCTCTGCCCTTCTCCCCAGCTCACGTGCATACTCTCTCTCTCTCTCAAAATAAAAATAAAATAAAATAAAATCAGTGTTCTATGTCAGGTCAACTTGTGAGTTTTTCCTTTGTGAAGTTGTAGGTCAGTAACATCTGAGAAAAATGGGAGAAGGGTAAGCGAACATTTCAAGAGTCCTCAGCAAAAACTAGCTGATTGACACACGTTGCTTCCGCCTTTTTAATCTGCCACACCACACTGTTTTATTTTGGTGCTGATGTATATCTTTGGGATTTGTGGACTCCTTTTCCCATCCTTGCCCTCAGAACTTTTAATATTTCTTCATGTATTCAGAGATTGAAGACTAACACAAAAACACTAAAAGTGCCAGCAATGCCTCAGTACCAGACGGGAAGTGTCTCCAGGCTGGTAGGGAAAGATTCAGTCGTAAGTCATAAATCTTAGTTTGCTTTTCATGAATCTCAGCATCATGAATTCCCCCCAGAGCACGTATATATCAGTATGTTCATTAAAAACAAACACATAAACAGAACAACAGCGGCAGCCACAACCACAACCCTCACAACAAAGGGCTTTAATAGAGCTTTGTTCCCTTTTCAAAGAGACGGTGCCCTACTGTTACAGTTCAGAATGGTTTCCAGAAATACGGTTCACCATCAAAAGAGTAAAATAAAAAAAAATAAAAAAAAATAAAAACCCAGCAAGGAACCGAAACTCTTGACTTAGTCTCCCATTTCTCAGTGAGGTGAACTGGAGAAAACTTGGGTCTTTCCCATGGTTGTTGAAACCTTTGAGGGTAATCTCGCCCCTGCCCCCCATGCTCCATGGATCCAGGTTTTCCCATTTGGTACAGCAGGCACATTTTCCTTGATTTGGATCCAGGCGGACGCTGCTTTGGCTGGGGAGTTGTACTCTGCTGACATTTAAGGCAGGAATTCCCTGGGAAAATAGTCAAGAGATTCTTTTGGTGCTGCTGGCCAGGCTCCAAAGGGTTTAGGGTTCCCCACTCTAGGCGAATGGGGAGAAAGACAGGGAGGGAGGGAAAGAGAAAGAGAAGGACTTTATTGAGTGACTGTATTTCATCTGCAACTTGCACAAAAAGGCAGAAATGTGGTTGGATGACTGGATACTTTTCTTCCCCCTTATCTCTTACCCAGCTATTGTGACAGTTCAGAGTTTGGTTGGGCAATTTAAAGGCCACTCAGACATCCATAGTCGAAAATCAATTCTCTGGGGAAGCAAAGGACTTTGGGATCTAATGGGTCAGAGCAAAACATTTTAAATGATCAATAATCGAAGTGTAGTCTGTACTAGTAATTGTTCCAACACTTAAATGAAATTTGAACATAATAAGAAGTAAACCAACATTTTGGTGATTATTATCCCCCATTATCACACAGAATTCCCATGTTTGTAATAGACTAACAAAGATATTCCTGGTTTCAAGAAAAGAGCAAGATGTTTAAAATTCTGAGCTGTGATGGGGTGGGGGCATAGACCAAAGAACTTAAAAAACACTTTGGAGTAATGCCAGAAACAGAACATTTTCTAAGAAAGGAGCAAAAATGGTCATAATCTATGACCACAAAATAATGTGACTGATGGTCATAGAAATTACCATGGGTAAGACCTCCAATAGTTCAGACAAAACTTGCTCTTGCTTCTTTCCTAAATCATCACAGGTCCTTCTTTTTGACTTCTGTAATTCCTTTTTTTTTTTTTTTTTTTTTTACATTCTTATGACTGGAAGAAACGTACATCTGAAGAAATTCACGGGGCCTCTCGGAGGTGGCACGTCTCTTCCTGGTTTCGCCTTACCTGAATGTTCTTCTCTCCAGCTATACCTCTCTGTCTGCCTGCTGCAGGGGGTCACACTGTGGCCACATCCTGCCAGCTCCTGGCTCTTGAAGAGCCAACTGAGGTGCCCTTATATCTCCAATCCCTTTCCCTTCTGTCTTTGCCACGAAATCCTCTGACTCTCTTTTAAACACACCTCAACATTTATCTACTCTCTGAAGCATGCCTGTTGCAAACTAGAGCCTAGCACTAGTCACTTGACCAACCCATAGTAACAGTAAGCCTTTGTGATACTCTATAGTCATGACCAGGTAATGTCTTTGTCTCCACTGGTGTTTTGATGCTTTCTTTGGGTAAAAACTGAAGTTGCGGAGTATGCATGTCCTGTTAAATTCCTTACCGTAATGATGGTGATGATGATAATGACGATGATGATGGTGGTGACAATGATGAAATGCCAGCAATGATTCTGGTGATGATAAGATTGTGCAGGAAGAGGGTAAGGAGTAAGAGTTGGCATTCTGGACTCGGTCACTTCTCTGTTATTGGCTCTGGGCCACCTGACCTCCGTGGGCTACTTCTTCATCTCTGAAATGGAATGGAGCGTTATCTCTGTCTTATCTTTTTGCGAAGCTGTGGTAAGTCCAGAGGTGCTCCTCACCGCCTTCTCGTGGAGCACCTCTGGTGTGCCTCTACAATACTTTGGTTCCCCAAATTCCATCCCAGAATGATAAGCCACTTGTTTATTGTCTA